GAACCAAAGTCTGCCTGGCTGGAAGATTCATAGCAGCAGATCTGCTGCTGTCATCCCAACCGATTCCATGTACCATTTCCGAGTCTCCATTTTGTGAGCTTCCAAAGCCTTATGCAGCAAATGTGAAGCCATAGTGAAGCTCCACACTGCAGCTGTGCATGGAAGTGATTTACTCATTCACAAATAGTGAAAAACTCGAATATGAGGCAACTGCCAAGTTCAGGAAACAAATGTCCTCTATGAGATATTTATTCCCTGAGAGAGCCTTGTTATGATGCATAAGAAGAAACCTTTTTTTTTTAATTTAAAAAGAAAATTGCCCTAGTCCAATAGCAGTGCCCCAACTTCAGCAGCAGTTTACCAGGGCTTGCAACACTGGCTTAGTCCAAATCCCTTCAAAAACCTGTGGGCGCTTCCACACATGCAGGCATGTGCGCTTGCAGCAGCTCAAAAAGGAGTGGCACAAATCTGAGCTGGGGAATTTTGCCTCAAAGTACCCAGACATGCACTTTGGTATGGGGCAAGTTGTGCCATTTGGGGCAAAATAACCCTGCCCAGCTTCTCCCAAATCTGCAGCCAGGGGGAGCTAGAGTATGGGGCCAGAACCTGTGCTGGACCCAGCAGTATAAACACCTTCCCTGAGATGGCACCAGCAGTATAAAAAGCCACCCTGGCAAGCAGCTCAGGGCTACTTGCTTTCAGGAGCTTCTCAGGCCCAGCCAGTTGGTAGAAGAAGGGGGATCCCCATGATCCTTGCTGATGGACATGATCCATCCTGACTAGATGTACTCGGTGCTTGGATGTTCCATCTTAGAAAACCTGTACCTGGTTCAAGACTTCTTGAAGCTAGCATGCTGGGAGGGCCTGTCTTTTCCCCCGCTATCCCTGGGCCAGGAGAAAGCGTTTGACAGAGTGGATCATGGGTACCTCACAGGCACATTGTGGGCTTCATGTGGCTCTCCAGGTGCTGTATGCCTCTGCAGAGTGTTTTGTTAAGCTCAACTAGACCCTGATGGAGCCCATCCTGTTCAGGAGAGGAATGTGTCAAGGCTGCCCACTGTCGGGCCCGCTGTACACCTTGGCCCTAGAGCCCTTCCTCATTCTCCTGTGGAAGTGGGTGGCGGGGTTGATGCTCTGGGAGCCAGCGGTGTGGCTGGTCCTGTCAGTGTATGCTGACAATGTACTCCTTGTGGTCCAGGACTCGGGCAACCTGGCACCGGTAGAGGCCTGCCAGGCATTGTACTCAGCGGCCTCCTCTGCCCAGGTCAACTGGGTCAAGAGCTTTGGCCTGGCAGTGGGTGACAGGTGGCAGGTGGGTTCACTCCTGCCTGTGCTCCACAGGATCCATTGGAGTGTGGGCTCGCTGCTCTACTTAGGGGGTCTACCTGTCCCCCACAGACCCCTCCCCACAGGAGAACAGGCACCAGTTGGAGGCAAGTGAGGTGGGGCAGCTCCAGGCATGGGCAAGGCTCCTGAGGTGTCTCACCCTGTGTGGGAGAGTGCTGGTGCTGAGCCAGCTGGTCCTGTCCATGCTCTGGCACTGCTTACATACCCTGCCTGTGCTTCCCGAGGTCCTGGTGGGACTCCAGAGATGGGCACTGGAGTTTTTTTGGCCAGGATGGCACTGGGTTGCTGCAAAAGTCCTGAGCCTCCCCTTGCAAGAGGGCAGCCAGGGCTGGGTTTACCTCCGCAGCCAGGTCCTCATGTTCCACCTTCAGGCCCTGCAGCAACTGCTGTATGGTGTCAGTAACCATGCAGCTTGGGGTCACCTGGGGCGCACCTTCGTCTGCTACTTCTGGGGGCTCTGATATGACTGGCAGCTCCTTGGCCTGCGGGGCTTCTTTCTGCAGGACCTGCAAAGGCTGCCAGAGTTCTACCAGGACCTTCTCTGGGCCTGGAGACTGGTCTCTGCCTCCAGGTCCCTTGCAACAGTCACCCAGGGTGCTGACCTGCTTGTCGAGCCCCTCCTCTGGAACCCCCAGCTGGAGGTGCTGACAGCAGAAGCACCCTGGTTGCAATTGAAGTTGATTCTGGCTGGCGTCACCCGTATCGGAGACCTCCTGGACTACAATAGGCAGGAGTGGGTGGACCTTGATGTGCTGTGATCCAGGAGGCGAAATCTGCCCTACCTCCTGATGCCCTTGCCTTTGTTGACCGGGTTCTATGTGGTGGCAGTCCCTGCCCTGCTCTGTCCTCCAGCCCACTGGAGTTTGTTGTGGGGTTGGCGCCTCAGCCGGCCTTACAGCCTTCCACACTCCACCACCTGAGCCAGCTGGAGGACACCAGACCGGTCTGCTTCTCCACTGTCCATTGCCACCATCTCTAAATGTTCATGTGTCACACAATCCATCATGTCACCCTTGTGTCCCACCCGGACACCAAGTGGCGGGACCTGCTCGGTGAGGGCATGGCTGGGGGACCTCAGTGGCTGAGTCTGTACCCCACCCTCATCCCAAAAGCCACTGGGGACCTCAACTGGTGGCTTCTCCATGGAGCCATTGCCATGCGTATGTGGTGAGCTTCACAGACATCCTGGTCTCCTGCCCCTTCTGCGGGCAGAGGGAGACCCTGGTGCACTTGACCCTCGAGTGCACCAGGCTGCAGCCCCTCCACCTCCATGTTCAGAAACTCCTCCTGAGGTTCTGGTTGAATTTCACCCCCCACCTTTTTGTTTTTGGTCACCCCATCTGTGGACTTGAGACTTCCTGTTCAACCTCCTCCTTGCCTTGGCCAAGTAAGCCCTGTACTTGATCATGAAGGAGGCTCTGGCTGGGAAGGTGCCTGGAGACTGTGGGGGCTTTTTTTTTAATTAATTTATTTTTTTTTAAGTCCTGGGGCGCTGGGGCCAAATGGGGCAGCCATTGACGGGGCTGGGAGAGTGGGTGGGGATGGAGCCTGTTCAATGAGATTTGGCTGAATTGGTGGTGGCCAAATCTCTGAAT